GACACCTCAAGCTCTCTCGCTCTCTTCACAAAAGAGCTCTCTCTCTCTCTCTCTCTCTCTCTCTCTCTCTCTCTCTCTCTCTCTCTCTCTCTCTCTCTCTCTCTCTCTCTCTCTCTCTCTCTCTCTCTCTCTCTCACACACACACACACACCGCGTTTGACGGTTGGAAGCTCTTCTCTCTCTCTTTTGTGTGTCTTGTGATGATCGCGCGTCAACAACAGCAGCGAGTTCCTTGACGTGAGCACGGTGACGACCCAGAGCGCGAGAACCACCACCTCCTCCTCCTCCTGCACCTCCAGCAGCACCAGCACAGGCGCGTTTTGGAATCAGGATCAGCAACTCTACTCTTGGTCTCGACGGTACTGGGAACTGCCGGTGCCTCAAATCACAACTTTTAGGTCGGCACAACCCCAAATATCCCAAGCACCCCCCGAGTCCTTCGTCACTCCTTCTCCTTGGATTCTTCCCCCCGGCCCCCTCTCTCGGCCCTCTCTTTCCTTGCCTTTGGACAACACACGGCAAGCGTAGCTGGCCCGTAGCTGGACTGCGGCACCTGGCTTCCATGCCAACCTGTGCAGCGGGCACTTTGGCCATCGCTGGTTTGCTCCGAGCTCCGCGTTGATCAATTTCGAAACGATGGCCGAGCCAACGACACCCGACCCGCTAACGCGGCTGAACATGACGCCACGTCGGCGCGCTCTTCCCAAACCTCCCGTGGCTCCCACCAGCATACCCTCTGGCGCTGCTCCTGCTCCTGCCCCTGCTCCTGCCAGCAGTGCCGTCACCAACACCAGCAGCACCATGACCTCGCCACCCCCATCGTCTCTCATTTCATTCCATTCAACCACCGAAGAGACCCCCATTCCCCCGGCCGTGCATGTTCATCCCAGCAGCACGTCTCCGTCTGCGCTGCCCAACCTGCAGGATGTTCTCAACCACGTACAGGAATTGCAGATTGAGGGCCAGCTCGAGGAAGCCCGCCTCGTACTGGTCGAGGAACTGGCCGAACTCCTGCCCGTGACGTTTTTCGAAGCCGATCCCGGTCACTCTACCGGTTCCCACGAAGCCGCCTCAGAAGAGACGCCAATGCCTGTCACCACCATCAGCCCTGCTCTGACGGTTGCGGCGGAACTCGTCTCGGCTTCGCGAGCCGTTCGTGCTGTTCCCTTGTTGATTGAACTCGCGGCCATGGCCAGCGTCTTGAATGACCAAAATGCCTCCCTAACCAGTGCTACCCAAGCTTTGGCCCTTCTCAACGTCCATGAGGGCGTCTTGGATGCCGAAACGCTGACCATTCGGGCTCTCCGTCTTGTTGCCCGTGCCCATCTCAACCTGCGTCACCCTGAAATTGCCCTCAAGTTTCAGTCCGAAGCCGCCGAGCTCGCCCAAGGCGTCCTCGCCCCCAGCAACCCCGTCCTTGCACTCTGCCTCTTTGAGTTTGCCTCCATGTGCGAGCGCATGCGCAACATTAGTGAAAGTGTCATCTGGTATCGCAAAGCGCTGCAGCTGGTCCAAAAACACAACCCTGACCACGACGTGGCCCAACGCATTGTGCTTCGCCTCAACGCCCTTGGCCGACACCGCAGGTAGGCCTGCAAGACCCCACACACACAACGCTACTGCTCGAGTAGTCAATGATGCTTCACCCCGTCCCCCTTCCATGTGAAATTAGTGTATCTCATCCCGACACGCATGTCTCTGCTATTGCAGGTCACGAAGCGGGACTAGCATGGCCCGATCACGCCGCTCCTCCCAAATCAATAGCGGCATGAACGTAAGCAGTAGTAGCGCCGTGCAAGTGGGCTCCTTGCCACCTGGATGGTCGGCCCATCGACACCGCGATGGCCGCGTCTTTTACGCCAACCACCATACCAAGCAAACCACGTGGGCTGACCCGCGACTGCAAACGGAGCCCCTGCCACCCGGTTGGGAGGCGGCCTACGATCCTCACGGTCACAAATATTACATTGATCACAACACCAAGACCACGCACCGCTCCCTGCCACCCGCCTCGGGGGCCGTCTCACCAGCCAAGTCATCGCAAGAAGGAAACCGTCTTCGTCACAATAATTCCAACAGCTCCCTCATCTCCATGGACAGCGTCAATTCGTTTGTATCCTCCGTCTCAAGTCTCACGCGCAGTCTTTCCATGGCCTCCTTCAACTCGCTGTCCTCAGCCCGGGCGCTGTTAACGGGCGGTGGCTCCACGCCCCCTGCTCCTGGCCCGCGCGAGCTGGACAGCAGCTACAACGCAGATGCAGACCTGTCCATTGCCGAGGATGGTGAAGACTCCTTCATATCCACTGATGACCCTGTTCAGAGTGCCAACGAGGCCTACGCCTCTGGTCCCGCAGACAATAACGTCACTACCATAACCCCATTGGTGTTTCCGATGCGGCGTGAATCTGTCGTCGTGGAAATGCTTGACTTGGCGGAGAATGAAGTTTAATCCCCCGATCCTTTGTCCAAACGCCCCCATCTTAAAATGCTGGCCTCTCCCACTTTGAGCAGCTGTGGTGGAAACAATCGCCGGCGTCTTGGACTCGATCGGTGCCCAATAGGTAGTAGCAAGGGCTGGCAAGGCCATGAGAAAAGTCATAATTGAAGATTTGGAAAAAGAGACGTGCTCAAGGATGACAAAGGGGGCTGCCATCTGCCTAACGATCCAATTCCTGATTCTAGGTCAATTAAAAGTCACTGAGGTTCAGATAGAGCGCGGCAGCAAAGCTTAGGAGCGAGGCCACTCCCGTCACCATTAAAAGGACCCGCAAAAGATTTTGTCGCGCCTCTGAGCCTGATGGTAGGTGTGTGAAGGCTGGCGCCGACGCAGTCCGAGAGGGAGCAAGCGCCACAGCGCGACGGCGTGAGGCAAAGCTGGCGAGCGAAAGGTCTGCACCACTTGAATTGATGGCCGAGTGCGTTGAGTAGCGGGATGCAGCATCGGCAGGATCGGACCATTCCGCCGTGGGTGGGGCATCCACCTCGGCAGCACGGGGCGAGGTATCAGGTGGCGACCCGACGGGCAATAGATTGTGCCGAGGAGCTGCACCCATAGGCTCCTCCTTTGATACCTCTGGCGTTGTTGCTTGAACATGCCAGTCCATAAGGCGCGGTCGCACAAGACCATTGCGTTGGTAGCTCGACGATGGTGTGCGCCGACGTCCGAAATCACCACCAGTGCTGTCCTGCTCACCTGCATCCTCCTCTCCGTCGCTCAGCAGTCCGCTGACCTGAGGTGACCTCTGTGTCAGGCCGAACGGAAAACAGTGAGTCGCACAAACGATCACCCAAAGGCGGGGCAATAGGCACGAGATGTCATGGGCCGAGCTTCGAACCGGCTTTGAGGGCAGAAACTGGCCCATTGCCATGGTAGTGGGAGAGCCTTCATCGACCTGTCCTGATATCTTTGCCTGCTGATGGGGCAGTTTACCGTCAAGCGACCAATCAATGACAGCCAGCATGCATCGATCGACTATGCCATTGCAAGCGGTCCGTGTCACAGCGCCCCCATGTTGACGCGAGCGCTGACCTGCACATTGTCTGAGTCGGTTGATGGAGGAGAGGCGGAAAGCACCCGAGTCACTTGCGCCTCGCTTTGACGCGGCATTGGTTCCCAACGTCGGGTAGGTGATTGACCAAAGGAACCCAGGGAGTTGGAAGCACTGCTCGCACCCAGCGAGGTGTCGGTCCCGTCCGCGCCCGAGGCCAATGTTACGCTCGGACGCGACGCGCTTGTGAAAGAAGAGCCCGTGGGCCCAGCCAGCGTCGAGGGCAACGGCGCCCGCGTGCGCTGGGTGGACCGTGAAGGACTCAGCCCGCGACGCGACCGCAAAGACATGCTCGCCGGTTTGCCCTCCACAACAAAAGCCTGCTCACCTGCGCTGCCACTTGATGCACCCACACCTCTTGCCAGCGGGGTCGAAATCACTGACAGAGAGAGAGAGAGGGAGGAAAAAAAAGTTGAAAAAAACGCAGAGATCAAGATTGAGAATGAGATTTAGACAGAGATTACGCCGCAGGTCAAGACAGGAGCTTGCCTAAACATAAGCATGAAACAGAGATGTAAATGGAGTCAGAGACAAATTCAGAGACAGAGGCGGATGCAGAGACAGAACAACAGTGCCACGTGCAAGCAAGCTCTTTTTCTCGTCTTTTTCTCGTCTTTTTCTCGTCTTTTTCTCGTCTTTTTTTTTCCGACGTAAGGAAGCAGTACAAGTGATTGCTGTTGCGAGTGGCGACGCTTTTGGCATTCGTTGCTGGTACCAAGCGCACAGGTGGTTCAACCTGCCGATTTGGTTCTAACTGGAGCTAACAAATCCATGCGTCAAGCGTCAAGCGTCCCGACTTGAGAATTTGAGGTGCACCCTATTCAAAGGGTCGAGGTCTTAGTAGCCGTCTTGTGATCATAGGACTTGGCATTCTGTTTGCGCTAAAATTACCCCGCAGCGAGACAGCTGGGGAGGCCAAGCCTGCACAAGGATCAAGGCCAGGACCTCCGTGTGTGCATTAATCTTCGTCATTTAAGACGGGTGGCTTCAAGAGCACCAGGGGAGCCCTTCAATTGGTTCTAAAAGGCGCTGTCCGGTCAAAATCAATTAACATGGTCAATTCTGCCAACTCTCCTAAAAACTTGAGAACCTGAACTAATGACTACTACATCATACGCCTAATCATTAGAGAAACTTGGTGCGCAACACGATCCCAACAACTTTTCCTCCTCTGCATTGAGTCGAGTTCACGACTGCAACGTCGTGTACAACGGTCGATCACGGCCAGACATTCAACTAATGGCCCTAGCAGTACGTGACAAGCCAAGGAAGCACATGCGAGACGCAGATCAGGATGCATCGCAGCCAGACAGGACCTAACGGGGTTGTGCGGACTGACCGGTTGCAGTCCCTGGATCATCAAGCCCACGTCTTGCTGAACCGGTCGCTGTTGTTGGTGTTGTGGTGGTGGATGTGCCCTACATGACAAGTTCATTGTTGGGCCAGCTTGCATGAGATCAAGTCCGCGCACGTCCACAAACACCAAATCAAGAGACACAAAACAACACAAGAATCTTGGCGAACAGTCCAGTGCCGTGGACAAACTTTTGTACGGCCCCCTCCGAATTGTGACGGCGACGGCGACCAGAACCACTGCGCAAACGACTGCCAAGCCGACCGCTGCTCACGTCTCTTGTCAACAACTCGTTTGGTGCAGGCGCCATGCTAGTTGCGATGATGAGCAAGCAACTTGATTGAGAGGATGTTTGGCGCAAGTCAAGGGGCAGGGCTGGGGCTAACGTACTGCAGCAGGCTGGCACTAATGGATCGCGTGCCAACCATCGAAGCTCCATGGGCTGCCATCGTTCTAAGAGGCAGAAAAAAATCAAACAGCGCAACAACAGAGTTAGCAGCCTAGATACCGCAGTCCTTCCTGGTTCAAAGGCCCCTTCGCAGTACATCAACGCTACAAACCGCGAGGCTGTGGGCACGGCAGGTAGCGGTGAATGACGCCCACCGTTAAGCGGTGATGTCTAAAGCAGCCAGAGAACCAAAACCAAAAGCAAACCAAGAACAACAACAACAACAACAACAACAACAAAAAAAAAAAAAAAAAAAAAAAAAAAAAAAAAAAAAAAAAAAAAAAAAAAAAAAAAAAAAACAAGCAGACAAAGGGCAGCCAGTGAGTTGTAAAAGGCGTCGCGCGACAACGGCAGCAACAAGAGGGAAGCAATAACATACGCTTCGATGAGCACGGCGTGCAGGTGGCCGCAACTCATGGTATGCCTCCAGGTCGAGCTCATCATTTGAACTCGCGCCATCACTCCACGAGGGGGCCCGCGCCATGCGCTGACTGGCGGCGGCGCGGCTTGATGGGCGGAGGTTGGCAGGCTGTGCATTGGTCCGGGGGTGACGGGGTGCAGCAGCCGAGCGGCTTGGATTTGGCACCTTTGGCGGTGCAGGCGTCAAACCTGCGTGTGCCGTGCGCCCCGGCTGTAGAACCGCCGCGCGCCGAATTGTGCGAGGTTTGCTGTGGCTGCGCGAGGAGAGTCCAGCCCCTGGCCGCCTAGAGTGCAAGCGCAGGGGCGCTGCCCGAGCCATGGTAGTACTGTTGGCACGCGTAGGTGGGTCCGCATTCGCTGTCTGCTCTGAATCACGGGCATTCCACGAGCCCTCGCGACGCAGACGGAGCAACACACCGGCCAAGGCAGCAGAACCAGCCGAGGTTCGAAGACCACCTCCCAGAGCCGCCGATACATCGGCCTCTGCCGTGGCATCGTCGTCCTCGTCATTGTAGTTGTCATCCTCCTCCTCATCCTCATCTGGACCATCGTCCGTGTCCAAATCACTATGATTGGACCGTTTTGTTGCACCCACAATGGTCACATGCATGATGGCAGGCTCGGCAGGCTCGGCTGACCCACTCCCAGCCTTGCTGGCCGAGACGGTGCGAGTCCTGGGCGTCAAGTCATCCCGCGCCCTGCCCGATGATGCAGCACTCTTGTCGTGTTGATCGGTTTTGCTTCGGTCGGGACGTAGAGTAGAGGCCGCACTGCTGGCAACCGATGACGGCAGGGACGGAAGACCCTTGCGCGAGCCCGCCGAATTCCGCCGTGGAGCCCAGTAAAACTAAGAGAGTAAGAACGAGAGAGCCACAAGGTGCATGCCCACGTGGTTTGGTAAGAGGAGGCGCGGGGAAGAAAAGAGACTTAGCCCAATGCAACACGGTGCCAACCTGATCATCGCTCAAGAAAGAGCTGCGGCTGAGTTTGCTCAGGGATACGGGCAGCGCCTCGCCATTCAAAGTGCGGAGACGGGCTTCCGAGGCCACGCGCTCAAGAAGCTGACGCCCTGGTTAAATTGGGTGCAGATTGAGGCCAAAGCGAGCAAAATAAAGGGATCCAACTTTGATCGAGAAAAAAAAATAAACAAAAAAACAAAACAAAAAAAAAAACAAAACAAAAAAAAAACAAAAAAACAAACAAACAAAAAAAACAGCGCCTGAGGCGAGTGACATACCCAGTTCCGGCGCATGTTGGAAACGGCGCAACCACTCGCATAGCAAGGTGTTGTAGTACCGGGGCAAATCTGTGAAGCGCAGCTGCTCTGCGTGTTCGAGGGTGGGCAAAAGACGATGCAAGTCGCCAGCGCGTTGCGCCTCCTCCTCGCATTCCATAAGCATCATAATATCATCGTCAGTCAGCTCATCAAGGATGCTGCCCAGCTTGTTGCTGGCGCGAAGCTCATCGTAGTGTTGAACGAAATAAGCGTGCTTCAGCTTTTCCTTCGGGGTAAGGTACGGCGAGAAGCCACGGCTTCCTAGGTCCCGGACTCGGCGCTCTTTGTCGTTTTGCCCTGCATGACCCCCCCACGCACCGTGACAAACCAAATCAGGCCACCAAAAAAAAAAACCAAACAGCCGTCATCGCAACGGTCAAGGGAATGCGCTGACCTGGAAGTCCCGTTCGACAAACGGGGGGGACAAAGCCAGCCAGATTGAAAACGTCACGCAGCAGACGACCTAGCAAAACCACCCGGTGTTTCGGAACGTGAGGAACAGCTGCATCGGCTGATGGCCGGGCCACGTCTTTGTTGTGAGCAGCTCACAACGGAAGAGTATGCCCACAGTACCTTTGATGTCTCGGTCGAGCTGCGATCCAGAGTTCATGCTGGGAGATATGTTGACCTCAATCAGATATGGCTTGAGGTTGCTTTCGAGCATAATATCAAAGCCAAACAATTCGTGGCACAGGGAGCGGTGCTTGCAGTTGGATTTGACGCCAGAATTGATGGAGCCTTCCACGGCAATCAGAGTCTGAAGCACAGTGTTGTGGGAGGGACAGCTATCAGTCCTTTCAACCTTGGTGCCAGACCTTGTGCGTGTGCCTTTGATAGCTTGTTAGTCGATCGCCCGTACCTTGAGCACAATTTCCTCGATGGATTTCCAGATGCGATCCGTGTCATAGCCGTCTGCACGCAATCGCTTGAAGAAGGCTTGCAGACCCCACTTGTGACCCACGCACTCATCCTTATTGCTGTTTGAGATGAAATCGCTGCTCTTCTTATTGACGCTGTGGTGTGATCGGTGTAGAGCAAGTATCATGAGCAACAAACCAGAGATGCAAATTGTGCGCAGGTGAGAGGGAGATTTTGCAGTAACCTGTAGTTGGTCAAATGCATGTAGCGGTTCTTCAGGCTAGACTTTTTGGTCGTATACTTTTGCGTGGCAAACCGAGCCAACCCTTCCCTGTGAAGCCGAAGATTGCCGGGATCAAAGCAAGCTGAGAAAAATCATGTGCAGGGTTGGTTGCAGGCAACGCATTGTTTCTCAAACCTAGCGAGGCACTCAGCTCGTGCTACGCTTGCAGCGGATGGGATGAACGAACCGGCAAATGTAGACTCGAAGGGGGTCAAAGCTGGTCACATAGGCGTAGATGCGCAGGTCTGACTTGGTTTCGTTGACGAGGAGAGGGTTGGCAAGGTAACGTTGGACAATCACGCTCTTGTTTTTTGGAATTTTGGACCATTCGAACACAACTTTGATGCCAATACCGCGGGCAGAAGCATTCTGTTTGGGTTGATGGGGTAAGGAGCAAAATGTGAATGAGCAAACAGAAGTTTTGGAGATGAGACGGCGCGGAGCTCGGAGATCGGGTGTATGGTAACGGGGGTTAGCGTGCAAAGGCAAGCCGATCCACAGACCGGTTTGAGAATCCATTTGCCCTTGCTGCCAGCTGCATCCCAAGCTCGCTTGAGCAGGTGCAGGTCGCTGGGAAGGCAAAACGTCTCGGGAATAAAGTCAAAATGCTCGCGACCAAAGCGAGCCTGAGGTGCGGATGGGTGGGGGAAAAACGAGGTTGCGGGTGAATGGATTCTTAAGAGCTAAAGACATGTGCCGGGTTTGGGAGGATGGAAGCGGCCTGTACCTGCATCTTGGCCAAGTTCTTCCAGAGCCGATCCTTGCGGCCAAGCTGGAAGGAGCCAGGAAAATGATTGACTTTTTGGTCAGCACGCAAAAGACGGAACGCCTCAGGCTTCATGTGCTTGCCCCAGGTTCCCACCCAATTGGACTAAAACAGCAAATTTATGATGATGATGAGCTCCGAACGATGGGATGTGCGGAGCGGCGAAGACGATTGGCATCGGACCAACGGACCTTGGTGGTGATTTGAAATCCGGCGCGGGCCACCATTTTTTTCACCAGATTTGGAGTGGTTGCCTGTATTTTCCACTTCATGCCCTGGATGGAGGGAGCAAGATGGATGTGAATGCAGGGCGACCGGCAAAGAGTTTAGTCAGCAGCAGGAGAAAGCACAAAAGGGCTTGCAGGTGCGGCGGGCGTTGGCAGAGAGAGAGAGAGAGAGAGAGAGAGAGAGAGAGAGAGAGAGAGAGAGAGAGAGAGAGAGAGAGAGAGAGAGAGAGAGAGAGAGAGAGAGAGAGAGAGAGAGAGAGAGAGAAATCACAAACCTCGTCAAGGCCAGCGGGCAAAGGGTGACAAGCCGTTTGATCACCGGCATACACAAAGCGCAGAACCTGCAGAAAGGGCACGCCGGAGTGCGATCAGGGAATGAGGCTTGCGCCCCGCACAATGGCCGGGCAAAGGCACGGAATTTGTACCGGAGGGCGTGTGACAAAGGGGCTGTCCCAGAGGGGGTCGAGCATGGTGAGATTATCGAGCGCTACACTGGGTGGTTCTGTGATCCCACCGTCCGACTCGACATCAGCCGAGAGGGTAGAGAGTACATCGTCATCGTCGTCGTTGTCATCCGGCAGATCATCATCAAAGTCAGGGTCGAGGGTGCCAGCCTCGGAGAGGTGTTCGTTGCTTGTTGGGTCGGTTGCAGCCGAGGTAGCCGAAAGCTGGCGCGTGTGCAAGTGTTTTTCAGCGCCCATTGCCTTGGGTGCTGACGGTGTGCCGGCCTCGACAGCCAGCGATGCGGGCGCAGCCATGCTTCAACGTGGCGAAGCAATGCAGAAGGAATCGTCGTGTCGTCTGGGGTTTCTGGGTAGCCAGAGCGGCCAGACTCAATGGCCCGTGCGCCCCGGCATTGCAGGTCTAACTCTGGAAGGTGCACGCTCACACTCTTTCAAGCGAGCTCGATGGGCGATGTGCTTGGGACTCTGTTGTGAAGGCCAGAGGCAGGCGGGGGGCGGGCAAAGTTGCTTGCTCGTTTGCACGAAAACCTTGCGATGCTTCAATCAAAGGCGACCAAATTGGAAAGCGGCCAAGTCCAAGGTCGAGAGCAAAGGGGATACGCAGTCTAGAGCCTAGCAATGGGCGAGCGAGCGACAAGTGGTGCGGCAGAGGGCGGGCGTTGGGGTCATTGGAAGCCGAACTCGATTTGCATGCGAGCTGACAAGAATTTGTTACTTGTTGTTGTTGTTGTTGTTGCTGTTCAAATTGTCCCGCCTGGAGACGCAAGCTGCAGGTGATCAAGGGCGGACGAAACGTGTGGAGGATAGAGGCAGAGATCAGACTTAGGAAGAGGAGGAGGAGGAGGCGGCGGCGGCGGGAGGGAGGGAGGGAGGGAGAAGACGAAGACGGTGACGGCACACCCAAAAAATCTGCAAAAAAAAAAAACCCTTGGTGATGATGCGAAAGTATTTTACTAAATATGGTTGTTAACCTCAAACTGGGGCGGTCTGGGGGGTAGTGTGGGCGATTGTTGTTGTGGCCAAAAGTATTTCGAATATACCAAGCTGATGTCAGCATTTCGACTGATTGTCAGCAAATTTGTTCCAATTGTCAGCATGGCAACGAACCCAAAGGCTAGTCGCCCAAAGAGCATACTTCTTCCGAATCTGCGACATAAAGTCGTTTATGGACTGAAAGGGGAATAGCTTAGTACGTGCTCGAAAACTGCAACAAGTCGACATATATGTTCAAACGCAGGTTGCAGCGTCTTTGGCATGGGTGCGACCCGGTCAATGTGTCTCGCTGGTCTGGTCTGGTCTGGTCTGGTCTGGTCTGATGGGTTGCATTCAGCGTGTGGTGCGGGACGCCGGTGAAAGAATTTGAGGGGCCTGACTGGTCCAATTCTTGAATCAGGAGGCCAAATCTTCAATCGAAGCAGGCGTAATGGCATCGCGTTGTGTGCCAAACCGAGTCCTGAACAGGACACTCGTGAGAGCTGTGCGGAATGCCCCAAGCACAGGCTGGTCTATGCTTCATGTTCAGCAGATTCTCTTGCCGACGACATCGGATGTTGGACAGATACCGGGTCATAACGTCGAGAACATTCTCATCCTTCATCCTACCATGAAAAGTCTTGGGTCCGTTTGTTTCTGCGCAAAGTTTGGTCGCTGGGTTGGGGTCAGCTCGAATTCCAAACTCGACAATTGTCCAGACCGGGCAAGAGCATCCAAAAAATTGTGGTATCGGCCGCGTTGCACATGAGATCCAGGAAGAGGAGGTAAAGTGCCAGGCTGAGGTTGGTCGGGCAGCTACCGCTGGGAGAGGGCAAGAATCGCAACCACTGAATCCGATGTGAGATGATGATATTTGTTGTGCCTTTGATCGATGGTGTGCCTGCAGAAACCCTGACACTTGCCCCGAACACGGTGTGGCTGCTCTGCGCACACCGTGGTGTGCGATGTGTGTGAGAGAGTTGGAGATTTACTGTGTTCGAGCCCGAATGGCATTGACCGGCACGCACTCGCCAGGCACCACGTCTCGCACAAAGGCAGCGTTTACCTGGCCATCATCAATCCTCTCCCCCCCCTTTCTCATCCAGTCCCCCTCGCTCCTGACACTGGCACCGTGCCTTCGAGAGAAAGAGAGAGAGAGAGAGAGGCATGCATCATGAGGAAAGGAACATGAGGGACGAATCAGACGAAAACAACATACTTTGCACGAAACCCATAGCCATTGCGTGTCCAGGTATCGAAAAAACAACGTGTGGGATTCTTTCAAGCGAGGGGGGTACACGCTGATTTGTACCATGCTTGAGCGGACAGAAAGATAAAGCTTCGCAACTGCCGAGCATCTAAGATTCAAGGGATGCAAGATCAGACTGTTCAGACTGTTGTGGTGATGAACCTTTATACTTTGTCCTCTTGTCTTGGATATCTTGTCGGTCGGCAGCCCGGATCAGTGCCACCGTGGCAGCGACTCGCGAGCTGGATGCCGTTTGCTCCCTCAATGTCTCGCGCCGCTCTGCTGCTCTCCTTTCTTGCCACTGCCTTGACTCGTGGACTTTGACTCGTGGACTTTGCTCACCAGTAACATGATGCCACCGGACGCCAATCCTACAGGACCCCACTCTTCCTGATGCTTCAGATTCAAGCGAACGTAAAACCCAACACGCACCAAAGCTGTTAGATTACAACTGCTATCGTTGGGATCAGCTGCTTGGGGGGAAGGGAGCGCGTTGTAGGACTGGCAGTATCACCTCAACCCGATAGAAAGAGTCAAATCAGCGAGGTTTTGTATACCCCCCACACGTGACAAACGAGCCCACACAAATGTTATGGGTTGGGCGAAACCCATCCACCCACAGATGGCAGTTGCCCCAACGCAACCCATTGTCTCTGTCCATGCCACAGGGCATTCTCTTCCTCTCTGACGATGATGCGCTATCCACCAAAGTCTCTGCTTTTCCTATGTTTTTGTCGCACTGAGTACGCGATTAAACCGCCATTCCTCTGACTCAAAGCCTCGAACAAAGCATGGTCTCTGAAAACCCTCTCTTTTCTCCCTCTCTCTCTCTCTCTCTCGCGCATGTCGTGACTTTTTGGCTCTTGGCGCACGGGCTTCAGGGCGGTTCAGGGCATTTTTTTCGGCATTTTCTTCTCTCTCACTCACTCTTGGAACAGCACGGCAAGCCCGCCTGTCTGGCACGCTGCCCTTTTCCAGTCTCTTGCTCCAGTTGCAGTTGGCCCTGCTTGGTGTATTTTTTTGGCCTGGACATCAACAACCAGAACTAGCATCAGTGTGTCCGCTGACATTGTGCTCGAGTCGCTGCAAGACCAGCCCGCCGCCGACCGTCCTTCCCCTCGGCCAGCCCGCCGCCTTTTTCGTCCAACGCGTCACAGTCACCACAGTCACCGTCACCATGTACGGTTTCCTGCAGTCGGTAAGCCCCTTTTTTTTTTCTCCCGGCTTGTGGTCTGACATTTGACGCCTTTTCGTTGGCACGCTACTGCCCCTTGGGGTGCGAGATGCTTGCGTGGTTCGGGCGCAGTTGGAAGCAGACCCAACCTCTTTTCGGCCACACACACACACACACACACACACACACACACACGTACTTGACCTTGCCGCCCTTGAGGAACGAACGACTCACCCCAACCCGACATGCTTGTACACTGTCTGGTCGTAGTCGTTGATCTCACTCCTCAAGCAGTATCCCGACTTTGAGGAGCGCATGCGCCAGATCAAAGACAGCCTGGGTACGTCCTGCCTCTTGCTCCCACCCACTCGTCCAGTTGCTGAATAAAATGAGCTGACCACGCCCATGCCGCTTGCCCTTCCTTACAGGCTATGAAGGCAACCTCGATGACTTTTTCCTCCACTACGATGACACCACCTCCTTTTCCTTTCTTGGCAAAGTCGCTGAGGTGAGTCTTGGCCTGCCGCCGGGCGCCTGACGACACAAAGACAAAACGGGGAGGCCCCGAGCTCATCCGTATACCTGAGGCTGCAAACTTATCCCCCCGCTCCCCTTTTTGAAATGCTCGTGTTGGTTAGTCATTGGGCATGTCCCAGGAAGAGTGTTTGTCCAAGTCGGGCGAGCTCGCCCTCGATACCTTCATCTCCAACGGCTACATGCCCATCCTTCAGACCATGGGTCATGACTTTTTCACTTTTATCAACAGCCTCGATGCCATGCACGACAACTTTTTGGCCGCCTTTCCCAAGATGAAGATGCCTTCTTTCCGACCCCGTCGCAACGATGACGGCACAATGACCATTCACTACTATTCCCGCCGCAAATTTCTTGCGCCCTACGCCATGAGCATGATCAAGGGTGTGGCCAAGGCCCTTTTTGACCTCGACATCCAGATCGAGCACAGCATCAAAAAGGGGTACAACCGTGCCGATCACGATGAGTTTCTCATTACCGCCGGCCCGGAACTCTTCCCCCCAGAGGCCGAGGAAGACGCTGAGGACATTGCCAGCAACACCACGGTCTCCATGGATAGTGCTGCCATTGACCGGCTCTTCCCCTGGCATTTTGCCTTTGATGAGGAGCTCAAAATTGTGAGCATCGGCTCCCAGCTTCGCCGCCATCTCAACGCCAACCCCATCGGCTCAAAGCTTGCTGACATCATGGCCATCCAGCGCCCCTTGGAGGCCAAATACCGCTACGACGACTTTCAACAGCGATGTACGGACACAGTTCTCGCCTGTTGTCTGGTGTCCAGCTCGGTACCTTGCCACCGCTCGCGCATGCTCACTCCGCTCCTTATTGATACTGCGCGGTCCTTCTTGCAGCTGGCAACCCATACCAATTGGCCCTGCATCGCGACGCTCAAGCTGACATCCAAATCGCCTCCCACTACGCTGCTACAGATGACAACAGCGATGCCTGCAGCGTGGCAGCCAGTGAGCTCTCAAATGTAGGCTGCCCTTTCAGTGGTGGCCGCCGACGCAGCGATGAGTCTGCCATCAGCTCTATTGATCGCATGCAAGCCCTCCGCAACATGCCCCAGCGCATCATCCAGCTGCACGGCGAGTTTGTGGCCCTGCAAGAGGGTCAGCTCTTCTTTGCAGGCGCGCCTCTTTTGCGTGACGTCAAGCAACTCGATGCCCAAGGCATCACCATGAGTGACTTGCCCGTCCACAGCCACGCCAGCGAGATCCTCTACGCCTCGATGTTTCAGGCCATGTCCGCCAAGCGTGCCAACAAGGCCGACAAGGAGCTTCTCATGCTCAACAACAACCGCGACGAAGTTCGCCGCCAGCAGGAGATTACGGCCAATCTCCTCCACAGCATTCTTCCACCCCGCATTGCCGATGCTCTTACCAAGGGTGAGACACCGCCGGCCGAGACGTTCCCGGCCACCACCATCCTTTTCAGCGACATTGTTGGCTTTACAAGCATCTCCGGCTCTGTGCCACCCGAAGAGGTCATGGCCATGCTCAATGAGCTCTTTGCCAAGTTCGACGACTTGACTCGCCTACACGGCGTGTACAAGGTTGAGACGGTGGGGGATGCCTACGTTGTCAGCTGTGGTGCCCCAGATCCCTGTGACAACCACGCCGAGCGCATGTGCAACTTTGCCATTGACATGGTGCGCGTCGCCAGCTCGGTGATCTCGCCCCTCGACGGCGAACCACTCAAGATTCGGTGCGTACCATTCGCCTGGTTCACTCTCGCGCTCCTGGCCTTTGCCTTTCCCTGGCCATTCGGGTCACCTTCTGACTCACCTTGTCGCTCTTCCGCTCTCTTTTCTCAGATGTGGTCTGCACAGCGGCACCGTCATGACGGGCTGCGTCGGCAACATGGAGTGCAAGCCTCGCTACTGTCTCTTTGGAGATACAGTCAACGTGGCCAGTCGCATGGAGTCGACTGGTCTGCCTGCTTCGATCCAAATCAGCTACCGCGTCATTCGTGCGCTGCCCGATGCATCCCAGTATAACATCATCACCCGTGGTCGCATCGCCATCAAGGGCAAGGGTACCATGAAGACATTTTTGCTCTTGGGCCATGCTGACTCTCTTGACCCACCTCTTTACCCCAAGCTCTCCAGCAACGAGCGGGAGGAGGAAGTCTGGAACCGCAACGGCAACAAGGAGCCAGTAGATGATGACAGCGACTCAGCCCGTGGTCCTAGCGACGCCCACCCTTCGGTTGTCGACATGGCCCGGTCTCTACGCGTCCGCAGTCCTAGCATGATGTTGAGCGAGAGCAACCTGCGTCGCATGAATCAAATCAACATGCGTGAGTCTATCAGCGTACCCAAGAACCGTTGGCCTTCTCCCAAGGTGGTTGCTGACAACTTTGTGATTGCAGAATAAGTCCCATTGAATTGTGCCGTGGACAACCTGTCTTGTCTAGTTAAATTACCGATGCCCCAATTGTTTGTTTCCCACGCCCTACTTTACTATGCGTCCACTTTGTTGTTGTTGTTGTTGTTGTTGTTGTTGTTGTTGTTGTTGTTGTCGTGCAGACCCTTTTTGTTGATGTGGTCCAACCTTGGATATTGCTGTGCGTTTGTTCTTCTCTAAGCGGCTTGTGTTTTATTGGCATGAATATGAAAAACTTTGCTTTCAATTGAGCTTGACCACGTCTGCCCAACCTCTATGTGTCATTCTTTCATCTGGTGAACCAACGATTGACCTTCCCCGATTTGCGCCATGTACGCATGTATGAGGCAGGGATCTGAGTTGCAAACAGAGGGTTCGCCTTGATTGGTGCTGCCACTTATGAACATGCCAACACAAGCAGGGCAGCTCAAGAAGATTGCTGTTGGCATGCGGAACGACACACGACGCTTTGACTACTTTAGAGGCCGCGGTTTGGGTCGCACTGGGGGCGGTGAAGGCACCGGTTGATTCCCGGTTGTCATTCGCCTGCCAAGACAAGCATCGTGGTGGTTCTTGTGAGCAAAAGCAAGTACCAACAAGTCATGTCACGTGTTTGCTAACCAACCGCGCAGAGACCTACCGTTGACGGGGCTCAGCAGCAAGGGCGGCGATGTGAGGCATGTCCAACGAGGCCGTGGAGGCCCGTCCTCGAGGAACGGCGTCATGAAATGACGGAGGAAGAGTGGGTTTGGCTGGTGGGACGGGAGGTGTCGGGGGCACTGGTGGCGTAGGCGGCACTGGCGGCGTGGGAGGCACGGGGGCGCTTAGAGGCTCCATGTGCCCACGTCTTTCGCTTGTCCGAGATTCTGCCAGCAAAAGGGGTGGGGGTAGGGGCAAATCACCCATTTCAATACTGGCTTGCCCGCTCAAAGACGAGCCAGGCCGCGAGCCCTGTTCGCTTTTGAGCTGCTGTTGCCGCAGCTGCATGCGAGCAGCCAGGTCAGCAGCCAAACGCGACGACGGAGATACACGGCCTGGGGACCCGGGCATGGGTGAAGCCGCTAGCGGTGAGCCTGGGGCGGAGGCATGTGCGGAGGCATGTGTAGGAGCATGTGAAGAGGCACCATTCATCAAGTGAGACCTGACAGGCAATGGTGACGAGGAAGACACAAGGTTGGCATCGTCCAAGGAGCTTTGTTGAGATAGCATGCGGTATGGTGCTGGTCGTGCCGGGCTGGAGCTCTGCGCGCCCAACTGCACATATGGTGGAGGTGGCTGGGGCATGTGATTGACAGCCGCTGGACGGGCTAGGCTTGGAGGCGGGGTGGGTGCCGTGGGTGGCTTGGGAGGAATGGGCGCTGTTGGTGGCAAGGGCCGCACCGGCGGGGTAGGGGCAACGGGTGGAACGGGTGGCACAGGAGGCACAGGTGCTTTTAGCGGGCCTGTGCTTGTAGATGAGCGCGTGGAAGCTTGGAGAGATGCGGGCTGTGACGGAGGCGCTGGCAAATTCAGCACCACCTGGCTCTCGGTATGGCTACTTGGGATGAAGGCGTCTTCCCTATTGGGCTGGCTGTACAACATGCCAGGCGTGCCATCCGACGAGGGCGGCGGGGTGACCATATTGCTCTGTAGTGCGTCGTGAGGTGAGTAGCGAGCTTCGTCATTAATGTCATAAATATCCTCGTCCCCTCGAACGTCGTAAAGCGGCTCCTCATCCTCGCTTGAACTATCGCTAGTGTCGGCTCCTTCCGGATCAGACGTGTCTTCCACCTCATCTGGTCCGTTATCCGCATGACGATCTTGATTGCTCATCATGGGCCTACTGGCTGGGTCGTCTGGGATCACCTCGTATACGGGAAGGTGGCGTTGTCGCGGTGTGGGCGAGGGGTCGGTGCTTGTTTCGCCCCCGCGTAGCATGTCTGGGAGGCTCAGACGGGCCGCCGACCCTTGAGCAAGCGCTGCCAGAGGCGGTGGAACGGGGGGGGCAGTGGCCTGCGCTTCCGTGGCACGTCTGCTGGCGGGGGAGTGCGGTGGCGTTGGGGTGCCGTATATCGTGGCGGGCGAACTATCTTGGAGCATGTTCAACACATTTGCAGGAGGTTCTTTTGCAGACGCTGCTCCAGGGCGCAAATGCCCAAAGGTCAGGTCCGGGTTGGACTGGAAGAGTGCGCAAATGGAATCGTTGCCGCTTTGTTCGGCCATGACACAGGGGGAGAGCCCGGCGTTGTTGGGGGCTTGCGGGTCAGCGCCAAAGTAAAGAAGCAGGCGAGCCGCCTCTACGTGCTGGTGCTCCACTGCTTTGTGAAGGGCGCTGTCCCCGGAAGAAATGGTGTGGCGAGGGCTTGCCTCATTTCGAAGAAGCAAGGCCAGCGCCGAAGTGTGTCCACAAGCGGCGGCCATGATGCAGGCGTCAGAAACGAGTCGCGGCGTATCGCTGCGCCCACGCAAGATTATGATGTGATAAATCAGAGCCGGAATATGCCCGAGGGCAGCAGCCCGCACAAGATCTTCCACGGGAGGGATGGTAAGTGTCAGATCGCGATACTTGGACGTGATGTACTTGATCACGTCCACCGTGGCCGTACTTGGGAGGGGCTTGACAGTGGGAGAGTTTGGTGTCTATCAGCGCGAGTTGGATGTCATAAAAAAAAAAAGGACAAGCGTGAGAGTTTGGTGGTACACACAATGACAAGAGACGTTAATTGACTGGGAGCATCGTGGGCAGAGTAAGTTGTACAGGAAGGCATACCTTGAGGCGGGCCTCGAGTATAGAATTGACGGTATGATTTCCGACAAGACGGAGAAGAAGGACATCGGGGATCAAGGGACGCGGGGCATGCTTGGAGAGCTTACAAGTAGTCAAAGGGGCCACAAAATCAAAATTTTGCGTGTCGAGGCCAAACAATTGCTCATGGATCTGGATGCAGCGCAAACAGTGGGTGGTGCCGAGTTCGGTTCGAACATGAGTTGCGGGAGCACCGCAGTCGGCGCATATATCATTGTTGTGCTCCTCCAGAGCCGCAGCAATGTACTCGTGGGCCTGTTGGAGTTGTTGATCTCGATCGGCCCAATGCTCGCCCTTGACACGCATGACCTCTTCAATGCGCAAGAGATTGTGCTTGAGTACGGCATTTTGTGCGGTGGTGCGAAGCGCCATGTCTTCATCAAACTGTTGTGCAGACGCCAGCCTTTCGCGGGCACGCTCTGCCGTTTCCTTGAGGTTCTCCAATTGCTGCCATGAGAGTTAAGCCAAGCCAAAGAGGTTACGAGCGTGAGCCAACCCGGTTGATCTTGCAAGTAAATCCCAGTGCCCAAGACTCGGTCACCACGTCGATTTGATCAAAGCATACCTCAAGGGCGCTTGCGTGAAAAGCATGAAGATGATCGTAAACGTCAAGAAACATGCGTGTAGGCGCTTGTTCTTGCTGTTGACGCAGTTTCGCCAGTTGCTGCATGAGTCCAGTCGTGCGCTCGAGCAGACGAAGGTCATTCTTGACGCCATTGGTGTGGTATTCCTTGCCCTGTGATGTGACATGACACGAAGGTGCACATCATGGGAACAATCGAGTTGCGTGGTTGAAACACAGACCCGCGACGAGACCGAACCTTGATTTTGGCGGATTCATGAGACTTGCAGGCCCGTTCAAAGGCAGAGAAGAGGTCCTGGGGCTGATCAATGGGTGACATGTCATTGGCAGCCTTCTCCGCATCTGTGGCTAGGCTTTCCTCTAGTTTGTTGTTCAGGGTGTAAATGTTTTTAATGCAAGCAGTGACGCCTGTGGCAAGTGATGAATCTGTGTGGTCATGGCAAAGTGAATAGCAAAAGGGTCAGGAAAGCGGACGACACAAACAGGAGGGGGATCAAAAAGATTGAAAGTTGACAGGCATCATCGCACCGAAGCGAGTCCACTCAGCCAGGCCCTCAATGTCACGAAGTTGACTGGTGGTACCCTCAAATGAAGACAGGGCTTTGCTTTCGCGTTTGCCCGCTCGAGAGTTGCCGCTGTAGAGTTCACGCAGGCTCGCCATCATGGCCTGCAACACGGGCTGCCGCCGTTGACAGTGCTGCGGGGCGCCAGATCAAGAGGGCAACGTAAGCCTGGCAATAGAGGTGACGCTAGGCGAGCTTGAGGTGGGGCATACCGTCAAGAGTTTGCTGACGACATCATGAAGGTCACCAGAGGTATGCAGTCTTTGAATCAGACGCTGATTGGTTGGAAGTCGGGTATCGGTAAAACCTGTGGCATCTGCAACCATGTGCAAATCGCCAGGCGCACACAAAGTCACGGCAGCAAGAACAAGTTGTGAGTTGTGGGCCGAAGAACACGTCTAAGGTGGGCAACGGGGGCGTTGGGGCGTTGGATGGAGATGCGGACCTTGAAGCGCGGTATTGATCTCCACCTCACGCAAAGCGTGGCAGAGAAGATCGTCTGCCATTGTTGGAGGCAAGTGTCTCACACAGAGGCACGGTATACATAGGCATTCAGCTCTGGGTGTTCGTAGCCCCTCCCCGACTGCCGTTTTCAAGCCAAGACAAGGCGGGTCTGGGCCAGAGACGGGCTCAGTCTGAGCCGGTACTCGAATGCAGCGTCAGCCAGTCAGCCAGTAGGTCGGTTAGCCTTGAACACCATTCAGCTTGCAGGCTCGACAACCATTGGCACTGCCACGACTGCCAGTTGCGCTTGGCAGCCCGTTTGTTACAACGCGTCAGGGCGGTTGAGCGAGCACCCGTCACTGACTCTCAGAGGGAGAGAGAGAGAGAGAGAGAGAGAGAGAGAGAGAGAGAGAGAGAGAGAGAGAGAGAGAGAGAGAGAGAGAGAGAGAGAGAGAGAGCGAGAGAGAGAGAGAGAGAGAGAGAAGTTGCTATTCTGGGTCAGAGACGGAAGGAACAATGGGGGGTCCATTCAGAGATGACAGCGGTTAGGAAGAACAATTCAAGAGGTATGATCAAGTCAGAGAATTATTCAAAGCTACAGATTAACGGATAGGCAGAGAGAGCGCAACGTGAGATGTTATTCCGCAGAGATAGAGCCAGCATCAGCGGTACATGTAGAGAGACAGTACGGGATGCAAGCGCGTGTGTTGTGGCTCGAGCGGCGTTTGTTGTTGTTATTATGGGGAGCTGTTCATTGTTGGCATGATGTCGAGTTAATGCAGCAAGTATAAAGGTTATCTACGTTTTCATGCGTTTGGTAGCTTCGATCATGTTTGATTTTGCTATGTGTTATTGTTGCTCATATAAAAGATGTTACGGCTCTGCGTTGATGAAAGAAGAAGAAAGTTATTGAAGAGGATTGTGAAGAAAATGCAGAAACTCAATGAAGTATATAGGTTAAACGTCATGGGAAGTTGCAGCAGATTCGACTGCTATGCACGAAAGAGTGTTTTCACAAAAGCGCGGTACACACGTAAGCATCGTCCTTTTCAAGTGTAACAAAGTGTGATAAAGTAAAACACTTTTTGTCAGATTTATTTATTCGCGCCAACTTTTAAAAACTCGTCCGGTCCAGCCTCTCTCTCTCTCTCTGTTTGTTGTGGCTTCGTGCGCGCTCTCTCTGTGGTTTGGGTCGCTGGTTTGTGTTGTGGTGCTTTGTGATTTTTTTTTGTCTTGTCTCGAGTGCGCGCACCGTCAAGGGGGCACAGAGCGCTGCCCTCTGTGCTTTGGTCCATCTTCCTTCTCCCTCTTCCTCCCGTGATTTACCCAGACGTTGGACCGCCTCCCTCAAACGGTCTGCAGGCCCGACCATGGCGACGACTCAGCCAACAACGCCGGGTAATGATAGCCAGCCGTCACGCCCCCCCCTCCCCCCCTCCACCTCTGCCCTGCATTTTTGTGCCTGTTCCGAGCGAGAATGCATCCTCATTGTCGTGTCCCCGACAGGCCGCCGAGCCCTAGCCGTGCGCAACAATGACGAAGGCAGTCGCATTCCTCGTCCAAAGTATGGCCATCACTCCTCGCTGATCGATCACGGACTTCTTGGTGCATGGCCCTGAGTGCGAGGCGCGCGCCTGCTGATTGCACGTGTTACCACCACGCGCCCTGGCTCATTTCGTAGGTCCACCACAAAGAAGCGCGCTCCTGACTGGTCCAAAATTCACCAAGCTGAGGAGACTCGTAAAGCCAAGGTGCCCTATCTTAGCCCCAACGCACTCAGACTCAAGCAGCACGAGCCACCCCTCATGTTTATCTTCTTCCTCTGGTGTCCCAGGCCATGGAGCACCTTCTCCGCCTCGCATGTATGTGCTACACCTCTCTGCTCAAAGCAAACGAGTTGGCATCTGAGCGTGTGTACGCGCACGCACGAAATAAGGCTATCTTGACATAAATTCACTTTCCAACATGGCTGCTTCTTTCCGCTTATGGATGTAGACTCGAGCGCGCGTGCGTAGCTCGACCTCGGAAGATCTTTTTGCGCCAAAAATGGCCAAGAGTGACGAGGCCATGACGCCGCTCAAGTCCCATCCGGCTCAAAAGCCCGCCAGCCTGCGCCGTGCGCAGATTGGCACATCGCGTGCATGCTCAAACCCTGCGACCTCTGGGCGTAGAGTGGAGAAGGAGGGCTCAGCCCAAGAGGATTTATTTCAAGCCGACGACAGTGCCCTGGCCTCGATCATGTCTGAAACAGGCATTGACGGTTACCGCGGATCTACAGCTACCCACCTCGCCCCCACCACGCCTGGCTCGCGCGTGTCCATGGCGGCCCGTCAACAGCGCATGTCCATGTACTTACGACTTTACGATGACAGCCAGAGCACCCATCCCGCCAAGACTGATAATCCAACTGCTCCAAGCATCGATCACGACACATTTGGTGATGCGCACGCCGCTCTCGCCGGCTTGAGCGTCCAAGACACGGATAACTCAAAGCGCGCCACCTTGGCCGCCTCACGTGCCGAAGTTCGCGCCAAGGCCGCAGACCTGCGCGGCGGCGCATTGCGCGTGGTCAAACGCGCTCCAAAGGCTGGGGAAGGCCAATCGATGCCCTGCCAGACCCCATCCCGTCAGCCTGTAGCACGCACGGCCACGACATCCCGCCGGGCACAGCCTCAAGCATCTCGAATGTCCAGCGTTCAGCGCTCAACCACCTGGTCTCAGCGTCGGCATTCCCATTACGCCACAGGTCTTCGCTCTGGCTCGCGCAGCCGCCTGCAACAGCTGCGTGGCAATCAGTCCGTTGCTCCTGCCCTAGATGCTGGCGCGAGTCCGATGCATCTGCACACCCAATCCCGAAGCCAGGCCAACGACCTTGGGCTGCACGCAATGCCCACCTTTTCCCTCGAGGCTCACCACACCCACCCTACCGAATCTGAGCTCCAGCCCCTGCGTTTGGCCGGCGCTCTGAATGATGCCCTCCAGACCGACGAGCAAAATAGCATAGACCCAGAAACGGCCGAGTATCTGCGCCTCATGGCCGAGGAAGAGCAACTTCAGCGTGATATTGCCCAGTACCAGCTACAATGCTCGACCACAGACGAAGCTGTCGATAACGCCGACGATATTCGTCTCAGCCCGGCCGCCTCCATCCCAACAATTAAAATCGCTGAGACTTTGGTTCGAGCAAGCCCAAGTTCGAATACCAGTTGTCTCTCACCTTCCTCATCCCCAATGCCCTCACATGACCAAAGCCGCAGCCCTTTCCGGATTCTTCGAAGCCCCAGCAAGCGCTCGTGGTCCGAGGCTGCCGCGGCAAGTGCCGAGTTTTGTCTGGAGGACGACTTGATGGACCAGATGCTGGAGGGAACCCCGGCACAGCCATCAGCAACCTCTGCCATGCTTCGAGCAGCTGGAACAGCTAATCCCGTGGCCCAAGTCTTGGACCGCCGTGATGTACAGGAGGAGCTGGTTTTGCCCGTCTTCCGTGTAGGCGCTCTCCTACGTGGCATCGAGCTGCCTTTTGCCCGCCGCGCCACAAAGACTGCATCAAGCTCCTGAGACCTATCGTAGCCACTCCTCTGTGCCAATCACCGTTGAAACATGCTTCATTCTTCTTTCGTTGTCAATAGCCTCACTAGTTTCTTTTTTGCTTTTTAGTCCTCTGTCTTTTTTTTTTTCATTCCTTGTTGTGTATCCAGACAGATTGGCACTTTTTCTGTGCTCAGAGATCCTGGCCGGTAGCTCATTGCATTGCACCAATACACTTGGTGTTTTTGGCTGCGACATGAGCCGCTAGCTGGAAGTGATTGTTTACCCATTGTTTCGCTTTTGCACTTATTGTTCCTGCGGGTCCCACTTAAAACCTCGAATGTACACCTGTCTGTTGTCCCACGTTCTGCTCGGTCAGTTTTTGGACGGAGTATTCACAGATCAATTCAGAATGACAGAACAGCTCGTACGAGAGAGTTGGTTACAACACATGGCCGGCGTCGCCGGGAACCTGGCCTTTGGGAACATCCAATTTAGCCCCGTAGCCCAATTCGGCGCCTCCGGTCTGCCATGAGCGCGGAGCAAGAACGAAGTTGGAGGTGTAGTGAGATTGTGAAGAAAAAAACAGATCACTGGCGTTTACAGGTTGGTGAAGGAGTGACCAAGCTCTTACAAAATAGAACACCTGACCAGTGGAAAAGGTTGCTTCAGAAGCGATGAAGAGGCACATGCGTGCAACTTCAGCCGGTGCGCCAAAGCGACCCAGGACCTGCTGCCTACAACAGGATGCAACGGCGTGAAAAAAAACGAGAGGGTTTCGAGGCATAGACATGTACGGGATCAAACAAGCCCAAGGGAGGGGCATAGCGTACTGGCATGCAACGGCGTAAGCCTCATTGAGTCCATCCTGATCTTCGGGACAGGCCTCTCGCCACATGGGAGTCCACACGTTGCCAGGGGCTACGACATTGACGCGGACCTAGGCGTACGCCAGAAAGGCAGGCGAAAACACAACCATGGAAAACTAGATGAGAAGCGGCCTGTTGACAAGCGGTGCAAAAGTTACAAGCTCTTGACGACCAAGTCTGAGAGCAGGAATACAGTCATCAGGCTAACGATGTACGACAGACATGGTGTCGGGCTTCCTCGACTGCCAACGCCTTGGAGAAGGAGGTCAAGGCACCTAAGGGAGGCAGGTATGCGAATGTATGAGCAAAAGACCCGTCGGCGCACGGTACTCGAGGGGTTGTAAAAAGGCTTCCCCAGACCTTTGGAGGCAGCGTAGGTTGAAGCCAGGAGCTGGCCCTGTTCAGCAACCAGGGAGGAAAGGTTAATGACATTGCCTTGCGTTTGCCGAAGGGCGGGGAGGGCGTAGCGTGTGAGGCAAAACGCCGAGGTAAAATTGAGATTCATGATGTCAAGGAGGGCTTGGCGATCAAAGTCATCAATGGGCTTGGCAGGTGGATGTGCGCCACCATTGTTGACAAGGCAGTCGATGCGACCAAAGGTCTCTTGTGTGGCCGCGACGAGGTGACGCAGATCGTCGTCCTCACAAAGGTTGCATGGCACAAAGTGAGCTTGCCAGCCATTGGACTTGAGGGTGGCGACAAGATCCTGGCCCCGCTCGCGATCGATATCGGCCACTACAACGCTAGCGCCTTGCGCGGCAAATTCCTACGAGAAGCCAGCAAATTTACGCCAAGGCGTTGCAGATGAGGCGCTGGCGTACCACGGGCCAAGGTCGGAGACAGAGCTGTTCAACCAACCGTGGCGATGGCTCGGCCGATACCCTTGGCGGCGCCAGTCACAATGGCAACATTGCCAGCATACCGCCCACTGGCCGGGGCAGCTGAAGCAGGGCCGCCATC